GACGGCTCAGAGTGGAGAGAAAAACTTCCAGACATCCCCCTGGTGCCTCTATCAGCTCAGCAGCATCGGAGAGAAGAGCCCCCCAGCGAAGAGGTCCTGCAGGCTCGAGCACAAAAAGCCAGCGAGGATGCAGGTGTGTTTAAAGGTCCCAGAGCTGCTCACTGTAATCTAGTTTATTTAACTTTCTGGATTATTTCAGGTCACATTTATTCTGACATTTCTATTATGCTAAAGGATGATTAGGCAGCCATATAACAGTTTATTGGCCGTTAAAGATTTGCTCTGAGATGAGATTAGACACAGGTTGACTTTATTCAGTTCCTTCCTTTTAAAGCTAAATGGGTTGGATTTTATTACAGGCTATCACAGCAAAAAACTCCTGAATATGGAGGGAACTTTGTTCCAGTATTGTTGCAAACGAAAAAAACACATTTTCTAAATGGAAATAAAAAAATATGTAATCCAGAAATGAGACTTTAAAAAAAATCTTACTCAAAAAAAAGTTTTAAGAGTAGATTTGCTCTGTTCTTAGATTTGATGTTTTTTTAATTGTTTTATGTTTTCAATTTTCCAATTTTTTTAATTTCTTTATTTTGTTATTTTCTGAATGTTTTTTTACAGATTTAGTTTTTTTCCCCCAAAATTTCTTTATTTTAGATACAGTCTTACAAGTTTGATTATTTTCAAACTGCTTTCTTAAGATTACTTTCTCTTCACTTCTGGGGCGGGCTTTCCTCTTTTCCTCCTATGAGGTTGGCTGAAATTCGGTATGGGGCGTGCGCGGGTGGGTGGGTAGGCTGACTTACATGTACAGTAATAAAAAATTGCATTTTCCAAGCTTGTCACATCTAGGCCTATGCTATTCAAATCTTTAGTAGTACTTACTACTAGCATGCAATTTCACATCCAACTCTCCACCGTGAGAAACGCCAAACTCTTTTCTGTACAGTTTACAGAAAGCCTTCGATTCATCTGTCAATGAACTGGTAATCCATGAATATTTCCCCTCCCGTTCCTTCCTGTACCTGCATTGTCGCTTCTGTTTTTTACTTGTGTGGTGGGGCTCTTCGTCTGCATGTCGCTATGGTCAGTGACAGTGAAAATTCGCGCCGGTCATCATTCGTGCTTACTGTTGCAATCAAATGGAATTCAAATGTCAGAAAGATAACAATATAGATACATTTTAGCCGGGGCGACACGCAGCCACTTAAAGTCGGCTGTTCCAACCGTTGCATTTCTGAATTCTCCCAAGTGGTGCCCGACTTTACACGAGTGAATAAAGTGAATGTGATTGGTCGATTGTTGTGGTGTAAAGTTAGCAAGCAAGTTTGATTGTGGTTGGTTTTTCGGAATCATCTTGCTAACCAGTTAGCAACTTAGTGCTAATAGGTTTCCAATGGGAAATTCCATTGGGACCAATTAGCACTAAATTGGTGACTTAGAAACGACACTGTCAAGGAACGCTATGGACAGAGGAAACATGCAGGAGGAGGAGAGTTTTGTGTCGGAGGTCGTGGATGAGTCTTCTCGGTCATCTATTTTTTATTTAGAGGAGGAAAGCGGGGACGAAGATGTTGTGGAAGAGGACGCCAGGGCGGCAGAAGCTTGATTTGGTGTAGAAGGCTTCCA